GAGCTCAACGCGCTGCAATTTAAGAAAACATGCAAATTGAAAAAACACCAGCAATTTAAGAAAACATCATCAGTTTGACGACAACATGGGCTGCAAATCCTCACAACACATGCAAATGAAGAAACGCGCTGCAAATAGCACGGACCACAACGGAAATGTTTCAAGGGGACCCAACAAAGTGACGGACCCGGCTGGGATTTGCTTATTGTGCTGTGGCTATTGGTCAGTGGAGTTGTCGGTGAAGCGAAAGGTGAGTTTTTTTGTTTATTTTAACACCCTGATTGCATGATTCCTTTGTCTTTTGTATATTATTAGCCTAAATAATCTGACGAATTACACGATTAACTGTGAAACGTTATTATATAAGATGGCTAACTTAACTGAATATCCTCAACTAAATATAATTTCAAGGTTAATGAAAATCAATCCGCAATGCTTCATTAATTGTTAAAACCAGGACCAAATAAATTGCAGATTGACAGTAATAATAATATTACAAATGTTATTCGGGCCCTTTTAGTAGGCTAATGAAAGAAAGGACAATGGAATACAAATACAACGTGCAAACTTCAGTCAACTTGTTTTTGTTTTTCAGATCAAAATGTATTGCCCTTTCTGTGGCATCCAATGGCCGACTTTGCCAAGATTTTGCAGTTCATGTGGGCGAGATGTAAGCTTTGTCGTAGAGAATGCCCCTAGAACGGCAGGTGATGACCAGGTGTCATGTCAGACTGTGCCCAGAGGTAATATTCTCTTACTGAGATCCCTATGTACTGTTCTGTCCATTAAATTATAAGAACTACATTTAGTTCATCTTTTTCTGTCTGTTTCTGATTGTGACAAACAGACTTTGTCACACATAATCACATGTATACTAATTTATTAACAAGTTGAACCAGGTTATAGTATGACATACAGAACTAAACACAAATACATTGAACATGTTTTTTTTTTCAACATCAACATTGACCTCCCAATACGACCTAACTGTTAAAAGTGGTACACTTAAATGCCCGTCCAATGCCAGTTGTTGTTCTTGTTCATTAACTAGATTTGTGCACAAATTGAGATTAAATACATACACCTTTAAAACTGTATCAAACCGTTAACTTGTTTATTTCTTTGTTAATGCTGATACATTTTTATGTTTAAGATTATATTTGTGGATTCCTGCATTCCTAATGACATTGTTCTCTTTTCCTTTCAGGCTCAGGAACAGTGTCAGATGAAATCACAGAGGCAGGCCTAATCCATAAATATTTCTCAGAGGGCCACACATATGAAGTGATCCTTGATTTTCTTGGAACAATGCATAACATTTTCATGAGTCTGAGCACCTTAAAGAGAAGACTAAGGAATGCAGGCCTAACCAGGAGGACAGACTATACTCCCATTGACACTGTGAATGCAGCTATAACACATGAACTGACAGGCTCAGGTCAGCTTTTAGGTTACAGAGCTCTGTGGCAGACATTGCGACAGAAGTATTTCTTGACAGTTAAAAGGGATGATGTAATGCATGCAATTCATAGACTGAACCCATCTGGAGTTCAGCTTCGCCATAGACACAGGTTTGTCCGAAGAGCATACTTTACAGCAGGACCAAACCAAGTGTGGCATGTCGATGGGTATGATAAGCTCAAAACATTTGGTGTTGCCATCAGTGGCTGCATTGATGGGTTTTCTAGGAAAGTGATGTGGCTCAGAAGTGGCAGCTCTAATAAAGACCCAGGGATAATTGCTTACCATTACCTGCAGTGTGTATCAGAGTTTGGAGTTCCAGCACGCCTTCGCACAGACTGTGGGACAGAAAATGGCACTATGGCAGCCATTCACTGTGCATTAAGAGCACAGCATACAGATGACTTTGCAGGAGCCCTCAGTCACATGTATGGCACTTCAACTGCAAATCAGCGAATCGAAAGTCGGTGGTCCTTTTTCAGAAAGCAAAGGTACAGGCCTTTTAAGATTAATTCCAAAACATAAATGTTATAAAATGTACTATTTAATAACTTAGTTTTTGTGTGTGTTGTCACATGACAGAGGGTTTCCGCTGTCGTTATTAGAGCTGCCACTTCTGAGCCACATCACAACATGTATAATATGAGAATAACACTAGACTAAAATGTAATGCAAATCTTTTTTACCTGATGCTATAAAGTTCTTTACATTGATATTACTTTTTTTTTTTAAAATAGGAATGCAGTTTAAATAATACCTTTTGTTGGAAACATGTTTTATAAATCATTTCCATGTAACGTTTATTCAGCACTTAAGTAAAACATTGTGTATACTTTCATTCCATCATTAGGACTCAGTTCTGGATTGATCTCTTCAGTGACCTGAGAGAGAGGCACCTTTTCAATGGCAGCCATGAGCATAAGTGCCTTCTACGGTATGTTTTCTTGAGCATCGTGCAGAAAGACCTTGATGAGTACAGAGAACTTTGGAATAACCACACCATCCGACCTGTTCGTCAGTCGTCTTGCCATTCTGGTAAACCAGAAGCCATGTATCACCTGCCTCACAGGTTTGTATTTAATCCATGCAATATGTGACCATGTTTAGTAAATATCAGTTTTCATTTTCACTTAAGTTTAATCATTAATGATGAAAGAAAATGTGATTGATTGCCTATATCTGACACAGAAGTGTATAGTGTTTGTATTATTTTAAATCAGAACTAGATCATTGTTTAAAAAAGAATTCAGATATTCTTAGACAAAAAACATTTACAATGCATGAAGCAAAAAGGGGGATTTTACTGATTCACAAAGTGTCTTTGTAGTAGAAGCAAATGTAATGACCATATTCAACAACAGATGTTGTCAACATTGAGGGTCAGCCTTTGGCTTATGTCTTCAATTTCAAAACTATTTAAAAATTGCGGCGTTGGGTTATAATCTTAGCATTTGTAGGTTTTATTATACATTTTTGTAATGAGTTGACTCAAAGTGTTTTGATTTCTGATTGGCCTTAGGTTTGATGCAAGGGACTGTGGATTCCCAGTGTCACAGGAATTTATTCAAGAGTTTGAGGGCATTCGGCCACCACAGCGCAGTCTTTGTGGTGATAGTAATCTCCAAGTTCATTTTTCGGACTTGCAGAGACAGAGTGGGCTTTCTCCACCAGTCAACTGGACAACTGCTGTTGAAAATTACATAACACTTAAAAATGTCCAGATTTTAAAATCATCAGTTCAAAGAACAACTTTATTTGCTCACTGCATATGTCATCAGTGTTTTACTGAACAGCAGTCATTTAAACTGTGTATAACAAAATCTTAAGTTTTGTGCAAAGAACATGCCATGCATTTCTGTTGTAAAAAAAAAATAGGTCCATGATGAAAAATGTCACTTGTGAAAAAATCTATATTATTCCTCAACTCACCAGTATATCAGTACAGTCTATTAACCTCAGTGTTCCATGTTTAACTGAGTAACTTGAAATGTGTAACTACCGGTATAACATAAGTGCACATTAAAACATACCTTATACAAACAAAATACGAAAAAAACAAAGTGGCATATTTTAATTTCAATAAAACTGTTTACTTGGACCTAAACACCAGAATATCAGCCAAAGGTATTTAGCTTCAAGGAAGCCCAAACCCAGGGGAGTTTTGCATGCCATAATCCATGGCTGCTTGAAACTCTTCATAACTGGGTAAGATTGGAATTTTGATTGTATTTATACATACATTTGCCATGGGAAATTGAGAGCTCTTCTGAAAAACTAGCTGTGGCTATATTGCTGCAGGAGGAATTTTCTTCAGCCCAGTTCCAAACATAAGGACATCTTCCAAAGAAGGACTTGCCTCTTTTTCTAGAGCAAAAGAGAAATGTTAGACATTGTTTTTTTTGTTTTTTATATTGTGGCCATTGCTTTTTTTCTTGTTGCTATATTCGAATCAGTGTAGTAATCACCTAGCAGCTATAAGGCTTTGAGCGCAGTGGTGATTTGGTGGTTTGTCATTTCTTCTAAATTTGCAATTGTGGATTTATCCCTTTGTGTATAACACTCATTTAAGGTTCCCTGAACTGACAAACATTTCTGTTACTTTATATCTCATCATTTGCTGCAGTGACAATTCGGCACATTTCTTATGATTTTAACTATAGATAATACCTTCCAGGTAGAGCAGATAATCTCGCCAGTAGCTCAGTACTCTGGCCTCCTCTTGACGGTTGGTGCTACCAGGCTGACTAAACTGCACCTGGAAGATGTTCTCCACAGCATCAGCTGTCAGCTTGTTCTCAGTGTAGCACATGAATGAGAAGAAGAGTGAAGGATGCTGTTCTAAGGCATTGACAAAATCAAGCGTTGCCAATCCCTCTTTGAACCTACAAAAAGTTCCATGTCAAAAAGTTACTACAAGGACGTTATGTGAACAACTGCTGAAAGATATACAGATTTTCCATTTTAAAAAGAGGTGACACTACTTCAGCCACAATATTTAGCCTTTATTAATATAATAAAAAAAGTATTAAAGAGCTCATGTTAAAATATAAAATAACTATTTTAACATTGTATTAAAAGTTTTGTTACATGTCCACAGAGCAAGTAGAAAATTATACCTCTGGATGGAAACATGGTTTCGGTAGATGAAATACCACTGAATGTAATCATCTACTACTTTGTTCTTATCCTCCAGAGTCCTCATGAATCGATAGCAGCCTGCTTTCTGAAGCATGCTGGAATATTTTTCTGTGAGTTACTGGAGGTCACTCAGTGATGTAGCATTCTTTATCTAGGGGAAAATGAAAAAGCAATTAAATGTTTTCATTATTATTGTTTATTATTTGACCAGTTAACAGGCCACATTACATTTATACAAATTAGTAAGGCTTGGGCTATTGGTAACTTGTTTCCAAAATGGTTAACAACACAAATGTAAAAGAAATGTGATTATTTATACAGATAGCATAGATACAAAAAGAGCAACATTGAACAGTAATGTCAGATTCAAAAGAAGGAAATACTGTGATTCACTACTGTATTGTACATATTTAGACATATGTTGCATATTCATCATTTATGGTCTACCTTCCAGTACATGTGCACATGGAAAAAAAGCTTTTTTGGGTGTAGCACATCATTATCAAAATATCTGATAAGAATATTTGATTTCAAGCACAAATTAATATATTTCATTGACCTTGGTTCGTAATAGACACCAAAACATCTGATTCTGATGTTGAATAAATTGAATAGATTTTGAGAGATTAAATTAGACACAAACACAAATTTTAACCCTTACGATACTGGATATTAATAATGATACCAGGTTAAAAATTAACAATATTTATTTATAATATTTAATTCAAAGACTAGGGGTTTAGAACTACTCTTTTGAATTTATACTCACTGCTCATATGAGAGCATACCGTCATTACATTATTGTCAAACATACGGTTTATACAGCAATTAAGATATTGTTTTTGTCAGTTGATGAAAGTAATTTATTTACATTTTTTGTAATCCCAGCCTAACAAATTACCTCAAGAAGGGCCTTCTTGACCTCATCATCAGGTATGTCTTCAATTGGGGCCTCAATTGTCTTTACTTTACCAATTAGGTAAAGGAAGAAGTTTGGGGAAAGACAAAAAGGCCCTGGACCACCATGGACAATGGACACTGCAATCATTCTTCCAATGTGGACATTTTCATTGTCTTCTGCAGATAAAAATGCCAATATAGCAATGTTAGGACACTCTGATTTACAACATTGTAAAAACCTCACAAAAAGTATTACTTTTACTATCAAATGAGAGGTATTTGGCATTGTCTTTGCCTTCAAATACTCTCCTTGTTTTGATGGTGTCCATCAACAGAGTCAGAAATTCTCGAGTAGGCCCCCAAAGCCAAAAGTCCAAAGCCTCTTCCATCGGCCCAGCATCATCTGTGAATTTCACCATCAAGCTGCAGGTGGGGTCAAATGAGGATCGCCTGAAACCTCTTAAGGCACCATCCCAGACATTCACCCGGTTAATGTTAAATCTGCTACAGGATGTTTTGTTAAGATTATGTGCCAGATTTGACACTATGTCTGCAGCTGTCAGCCCATCATGTCCATCACTGTAAAATAATAAATAAATAAAAAGTCCACAAACAGCAAGAAACTATTAACACTGCAGCTTTTTGTATTTTATGGGCCCTTTATAACGAGTAAGCTATACAACACTGCTCAAAAATAATAAGCATAATTTGGACATCACAACTTTAGTAACAGATTTTGAGAGTCCTCCCACAAAGTCAAATTTTTCTGGTAAAGAACGAGGTTCTGATAGTACTTATGTGCGAGTAGGCCCCCAAAGCCAAAAGTCCAAAGCCTCTTCCATCGGCCCAGCATCATCTGTGAATTTCACCATCAAGCTGCAGGTGGGGTCAAATGAGGATCGCCTGAAACCTCTTAAGGCACCATCCCAGACATTCACCCGGTTAATGTTAAATCTGCTACAGGATGTTTTGTTAAGATTATGTGCCAGATTTGACACTATGTCTGCAGCTGTCAGCCCATCATGTCCATCACTGTAAAATAATAATTTAAAAAAAGTCCACAAACAGCAAGAAACTATTAACACTGCAGCTTTTTGTATTTTATGGACCCTTTATAATGAGTAAGCTATACAACACTGCTCAAAAATAATAAGCATAATTTGGACATCACAACTTTAGTAACAGATTTTGAGAGTCCTCCCACAAAGTCAAATTTTTCTGGTAAAGAACAAGGTTCTGATAGTACTTATGTGATAGTACCTGTCTTTCTCTGGCAGTTTCTCTACTTCCTCAAGATCCGAGGAACTGCTGTCGATGGTGATAGGTGCATAGATATGGATATATGTACTGTGGAAGGGAGGTACAAGAACAACAATAACACAATTAATCCATAAATTATTCTGAAAAAGTTGTTTTGTTGTTTTGGCTGTAGTCCAGTACTTTAGTCCAATAGGTTTATTTAAAATCCAGTGAAAAATTATGTAAAATAATTTCTTATGTCTGACCTGTAGAAGTCACTTGACTTAAGTTCACCCACTGAGGTGGTCATTTGTTTGGGTCTTGTTGTACTCTTGGCCTGTAGCACCGGCAACACCACACAGCACAATAAGAACTTAGAATAATAATCACAGAAATACCCAGAAAATAAACAAATTCTGGTTTATTATATTACAGAATATGACATACTTGCCCATTAGATGACTGGGATGTTGTGGCTGACCTAAAACATACAAACAATTTAGCAGAAATAGTATTATAGATAAGATAAAATGCTTCCTATATAGCAATTTTAAAAATTAATGCATTAAAACATACGGACATTCAGCTTGCACAGAGACAAAAAATGTGTCAGCAGAAATTTAACTTACCGATGTCTATGCTCTGGTGTACTGCTTTGAACTTAGAATAATAATCACAGAAATACCCAGAAAATAAACAAATTCTGGTTTATTATATTACAGAATATGACATACTTGCCCATTAGATGACTGGGATGTTGTGGCTGACCTAAAACATACAAACAATTTAGTAGAAATAGTATTATAGATAAGATAAAATGCTTCCTATATAGCAATTTTAAAAATGAATGCATTAAAACATACGGACATTCAGCTTGCACAGAGACAAAAAAATGTGTCAGCAGAAATTTAACTTACCGATGTCTATGATCTGGTATACTGCTTTCGGGACTTGACCAAAGCTGCCAAGTGTAAACATAAAACCCTAAACTCATTCATAGCCTTAACACTGTATATGCTTTTCTATTTCTAATGGTTGGCAAGTACAGGAGATTTTATTGCATTATAGTTGTACTGTAAGCACAGACATGCTGAACACCTAAATTCCTGAGATGTACCTACCACTGTGTCAGAAAGAGGTGACATATTGGGTAGCGCCCTAACAACAACATCATCTTCTGAAACGGAGTCATATTCTTGACCTCACAAAAGACTTTGTGGTCAATCTCTATTTCCAATTACATGTCCAGTATTGTTAAATATGTAGACTGTAACTAGTTGGAATCCCACAAAGCACTTAAAGCACTTATTTTTAAGTTTAAATGCACATAAATTATATAAAAACATACTATTTCAATACTTACTATTTGACAACAAATCCTGAAGGGTACAGATGTATAGTGTGATCCCTTGATATGCCTTTCCAATGGCCTCTTTGTACTGTCCAATGGTAAAATGTGTGTCAGTCCCAGGGATATTTTTTATCCGAGAGCCATCTGGATAAAGCAAGACATATTCTCCATCTTCCATGTCTTGATTGAAATCTTTTAGTTTTTTCACAGCAGCTTCCAAAAGTTGCTCAGATGACCACTGGGGGTCAACAGGTAGAGGTAGGTTTTTTCCTCTCATGGGCTTCAAGCCATTCTTGGTCTTGCTCATAATCCCAACAGAAATCTAGACCATCAGGCAAAAATTATGGAATACAAATGTTAATACTGTTCTGTCTGACAACTTCATTACCTTAAATAATGATTAGCTTACCTTTACTGTTTTATTTGATTTCTTTTTCCTTTTTGAGAATGTTTTCCTTTCAGTTTCTTTTAGCTCTCTGTATTTCATGAACTGAAGAACAGCTGAAGCGGACTTTGCTGGAATGGAACATGCATCAGTAACTAAAACACAAACACACCCACCCACACACACACACACACACACATCAGAAACAGACAGAAAAAGATGAACTAAATGTAGTTCTTATAATTTAATGGACAGAACAGTACATAGGGATCTCAGTAAGAGAATATTACCTCTGGGCACAGTCTGACATGACACCTGGTCATCACCCGCCGTTCTAGGGGCATTCTCTACGACAAAGCTTACATCTCGCCCACATGAACTGCAAAATCTTGGCAAAGTCGGCCACTGGATGCCACAGAAAGGGCAATACATTTTGATCTGAAAAAAAAACAAAAAAACAAGTTGACTGAAGTTTGCACATTGTATTTGTATTCCATTGTCCTTTCTTTCATTAGCCTACTAAAAGGGCCCGAATAAAATTTGTAATATTATTCTTACTGTCAATCTGCAATTTATTTGGACCTGGTTTTAATTAATGAAGCATTGCGGATTGATTTTCATTAACTTTGAAATTATATTTAGTTGAGGATATTCAGTTAAGTTAGCCATCTTATATAATAACATTTCACAGTTAATCGTGTAATTCGTTAGGCTAATAATATACAAAAGACAAAGGAATCATGCAATCAGGGTGTTAAAATAAACAAAAAAAACTCACCATTCACTTCACTGGCCAATAGCCACAGCACAATAAGCAAATCCCAGCCGGGTCCGTCACTTTGTTGGGTCCCCTTGAAACATTTCCGTTGTGGTCTGTGCTATTTGCAGCGCGTTTCTTCATTTGCATGTGTTGTGAGGATTTGCAGCCCATGTTGTCGTCAAACTGATGATGTTTTCTTAAATTGCTGGTGTTTTTTCAATTTGCATGTTTTCTTAAATTGCAGCGCGTTGAGCTCCCTCGGCCACCGTACTAAATACTAAAAAAACAAAATTTTTTCCACAAGCAATTTAATCTCTTTACTGGCTTAACGGTGTCGGTCTCAAGGTGGTGCGAGTTGTGTGTCCGAGTCCAGGAGTAGTTTATGGAGCATATGTGGAGGAGTGCATACCAATTGTTGTTCAGCCACTTCTGATGGAAAAATAATTCGTTTTCTTAGTGTAACTCCTCCTTCAAGCAAGGGTGACCACAAAAAACTAGTAATCATAAACTTACATCACAAAAAAACATTTCATACAAATGAACCAATATAACAAACAAAATACATCATAACAGAAATTAATTTCTCCTCATACAAAGAATATTAATAGCCAGCCAACCCTCTATAAACCCCAATACAATCCAAGCTTCTCTGCAGAAAGTAATCCAAAAAGAAAAAGGAAATTACATAAACACCCTTCAATTCCTACTACATGTAAGACACACCTCACTCAAAAGTAGTACTCCAAATCAATGGTTAATATCACTGCAAACATAACCCTCATGCAAATAAATAATGCAGGTGTTACAAAGCATCAACATGTATAAAGGGTACAAAGGTTGGCTGGCAACACGAGGCTGGAAGTGATGTACAAATAAGAAAAAACAAACAAACAAGAAAGAAAATAAAACACTCTGCTAGCCAGTCCGATTCCCAACGATCATCAAATCGTAATTGCGCTGGAAGCGCTGCACATACAAGGACCGGCTGGCTGAGGAAATACAACATAAACACTGGAGGAACAGCGATCAACTAAACCTAATACAAAAAAACAAATAACCAAACACAAAACACAATTAACAACATTCAAGGAAAAATGACTCTAATTGTTAATTTTTATTTTAATTTCATTAAAATAATAAAAGCAAAACGCTTACAAATCCTATATAAAAACCTATACAGTGGGGCAAAAAAGTATATCTAAATATAAATATATCTCCCACTTAAAAAGATGAGAGAGGCCTGTAATTTTCATCATAGGTATACCTCAACTATAAGAGACAAAATGAGAAAAAAAAATCCAGAAAATCACATTGTAGGATTTTTAAAGAATTTATTGGTAAATTCCTCGGTAAAATAAGTATTTGGTCACCTACAAACAAGCAAGATTTCTGGCTCTCACAGACCTGTAACTTCTTCTTTAAGAGGCTCCTCTGTCCTCCACTCGTTACCTGTATTAATGGCATCTGTTTGAACTTGTTATCAGTATAAAAGACACCTGTCCACAACCTCAAACAGTCACACTCCAAACTCCACCATGGCCAAGACCAAAATTGTAGACCTCCACCAGGCTGGGAAGACTGAATCTGCAATACGTAAGCAGCTTGGTGTGAAGAAATCAACTGTGGGAGCAATTATTAGAAAATGGAAGACATACAAGACCACTGATAATCTCCCTCGCGTGCACAAACAAACAGGGAACTGCTACCAGACAGCACGCCTCCACACAAAAAAGACCGGACCCAGTCTCTAGGCCTCCCTTCCTATGCCCACTTAAAAACTCAACCCACCTGCATGGCCACGCCCTCTACTACTAGCCACCTCCCCGGCTACATTAGGAGTGAAATCATTCTTTTTTTCGTGATGTCTGAAATTACGTCACGATTCCTTTTTTTTTTTGTGACGATTCATTGTTACTTTCCAAAATGTGCTTGAAGACACAAATACACAATTTATACACATAAATTACTGTAGTTATTCTGTTCTGAACATCAAATCCTTTGTTTTTCAATCAAATGTTTAGCTGGTTGAATAAAAATATTTGGATTTCATATTTAAAAATTACCTCAAGTTAGCATTAGGTAGCTAGTTAGCAAGCAGTTAGCATCAGCTAACAAAATGTTTCAAATAGGCTATTATAATTATGTAATTCATAATTATTATATAATTATAATTATTGATTATATTCTATTTTGCAGTAAATGTTTAAAGCACATTGCTTTGTCAGACTGGGGGTATTTTACCCGACCCACGGGGGTAAAACGTACAGAAGTTCTAAGCGGCCATGCATTATTATTTTTTTCCCTCTTTTTTTCTTGTTATAACGACATAACGAGAGTTGTTTTCTCGTTATAATGACTTAATTTTCTCGTTATATCGACATAACGAGTTGTTTTCTCGTTATATCGACATAAAAAAAGTTGTTCTCTAAGTTACAAAACTGCGCCAACAGGTGGCACTATTGACCTGAATATAACTGATGGGGTCTTGTAGGCTATACTGTATGTCCACTTTCCTGTACGCGTTTGGGATAGAATAGGACCTACCTCGTGATCGCTATAATTTGTACAGTATTGTTCATTAGGCTACTGACATTTAATTCATTCATAAATGTTAAATGCTTGAATCAATATGACTATTTTGTGTATTAAGTTCTTGCTAGATGCATGAGTTTCACCAACGCGTTGTGTCATAAAATAATCACTGCTTATTAAAACCAAGGTTGACGTCACTGTATTCTGTTTGCACCTATATCTTTATTTGTGCTTCTTTGAGGTACATTATTGTTAGTTAATAAGCGGGGGTGTTCTGTTTATCTACAGTAGGTATATATATATATATATATATGAACCCCCAAGTCACTACATCAACTACTTTAGATTTATTTCAGTTCAATGTTGTATAAAGGTCATCCAAAAACACATACCTCTGCAAAAACTCCAGGGTCGATGCCAGTTCTGAGGGGTAATGGATGTTAAAGCAATAATAGCTCCCAAACATCATGCAGAGGGCAGAAATGAAGGAGGGGATGTTGTCATGTACAACATTTCGATCCACACACAGCATGAATCGCTTCAACGAAAAGCAGGATCCACCTAAAAAGAAAATAAATTTTATCAAGTTAGATTTTATATTTAATTATAAAAACATAACAGTAAAAAAAAAAATGAACACTTTACAGTAAGGTTACATTTGTTACCATTAGTTAACAAATGTACATTTAACAATATACTTCTACAGCATTTATTAATCGTTGTTGGTTAACATTTACTAATTCAATTAATGGTAACAAATGAAACCTTATTGTAAATTGTTACCAAAAATTAGAAATGGCAGAGAAACTGAAACACCAAGAATGGGGGGAAAAAAAAGGGGGAAAAAATTAACTTACCACACACAACAAGGGTGGGAGTCAAATTTACTTTGTCCATTTCTACTTCCTCTGCCAGGCTTGTGTCCCACATAATGGAACATTGCGTCTTCCTTCTCGTTAAAATAGGAGAGCAAAAGCAGCAACATCTCGGTCACGTCTTGAGAGCAACCACCCACCTGTTCCCTCATCACGTTACACTTTGTTACAGCCTGCAGGAATTTTTTATTCTTGTTCACACCAACAGTACTGAAGTAGTTCAAGAGTCGTTTCCCCTTCAATTCCAGATTCTGCGTGAAAGTTTCTTTAAGACCAATTCCGGTAAGTTCCTTGAAGTGAACTGCCATGCCAAGTTCATTGAACCAAAATGGCCACTCCTCCAGAAGGCATTTTATATTTTTACCCTGGTTGACTTGTTTACGCTGTGTGTAGAAAGTCAACTTCATTAGATGTTTGACCTCCTCTAGATTTGCAGCAGTTTGCTGAGACATCATCTTCAGTTTTTCTTTCTTTTCCTGTTGACTTTCAGGGGTCTCTCCAAGGGGCAGGAATTTTACGTCCCAGTTAATGCACCCATAAGTATCCTGGATTGCTGCTCTCTGTTCTGGAGGAATTTCATCAGTGTCAGAGTCATCAGTACAATGCTTTCGTTTTCTTATTTTGGGTGTGGAAGATCGCTTCACATTTTCAATCCTATATTGCAACTGCTTAACTAAAGAATGATACCCTGGCCCAATGACATCTCCTTCTATTATGTCTTGCAGAGATTTGGGATATTTCGCCACCAACTTTTTGGCAACTTCAATAGAATTCCTTTTACTTAGGCAAGAGCATTTTCGCATGATCTCATTCACCACAATCCAGACCATCTCCCTTCTCATACGTGGACTTGGTCGTTTTCCCCTCTACAAAAACTGCATAAGCTCCTCGGGAACTTCTCCCATACCAGAAAGGTATCCACCCAGTCTATATCAGGGATTTGGGAGCTGCTGTAACAGCAAGGCTCGAAATTGCGACCATTTTGGTCGCATATGCTCCCGAAATTTAATCTGTGCGACCTCAAAATATATTTGGGAGCATTTGTGCGAGTGCATATAATTGTTGTCGTGCGACCTGTTTGCATTTCTCTAAAAACATTCAGAGTATGTGCCTTCTGAGTGTTGATACGGTGACCTGTCTGCCGTTCTATGAAACGTTAGACAACATAACCAATTAAACTTCGTCTTTACATTCTTAACTTTAATGCAGATTTTAGATTGGTTAATATTAGATGTCAATCACCCAGTCACTGCTTTCCGCTA